ATATATATATATATATATATATATATATATATATATATATATATATATATATATATATATATATATTATAAAATTCACACACAATACCTGGCCGACTTAAGTCAGAACGTTTATCGATATGATATGTTAATTTACTTATTAATAAACTAAAAATCGATTACAAGTATAGTGGGATCGTAAGCGGGTTGATTTCATAAATTTTATTTTGAAAAACAAAATTAAAGTCACGCCCATTATATATGAAAAAGTGTACGCAAAAGCATATAACATTTAAAATCATTTTATTGATGACACATCAAATGGCTTTTGCTTTCAGCAACTCGTCTCTCTCTCTGTCGTCTCTTCCTTGTAATAATCAGAGGGGGCTCATCTGCACTCAACAATTTCGTATATCGACATGTGTGTTTTTTGGCGTGGATACCACTCAAAGTCGAAAATGATTAGTAGCTTACTAATCGCCTGTTTTGGTTAAAGAAAAACTCAAGTCTAACATTTCTGAATAATTTCAATATGTTATAAACCGTACAACGGTATATGGTATATGGAGATCCTTTGATGTAATCAACTCGTTAATATGCCTAAAAATGAATAAGACATTAAGTGATTTGCGTCGCTCTCCTCCATTATGACAGATACCCAAAATTCGTTCTAATATCGTTTTTTTTTCATTTTCGTTTCGTTTCGTTTCGTTTTTTTTTTTTCATATTTTTTTCTTTAAATAAGCATTAAAGCGGATTGTATGCCAAAGCACGTACATCCAGGATTTATGTTTTCTTAATGTTCGAGGAAAAAAAGTTGAGAGAAAATAAAAAGCTTAAACTCCTTCCATTCTCTTTAACGTTTCGTATTCGTATATATAGAGATGTGTGTGTGTGTGTGTGTGTGTGTGTGTGTGTGTGTGTGCATGAAAAGAAAAAAGTATAAAAAAAAACTCATACACGCACATGCACACCTCTATTTCTATATGCATTTATGTATAATATATGTTTGTGTATATGTTAATATATATATAAGTTTATATACACAAAAAAAACAATTACGTACTACACTGTCCATACGTTCACACATACAATATTTACAAATATTTTTTATCTTTTTCCTTTTTTTTTTTTTTTTTTTTTAATAAAACAAAGCAAAAAACAACTTTGAAAAAAAGAAGAAGAAATATAACCAAATACACTTTCTGAGCACGTTTTCGGTCATGCCTGACAATGACAATAAATGTGTTCAGTTTTTCTCCTTTTTTTTTTTTTTTTTTTGTTGTCATTTTGATTTGTTATTTTTGTTTTTCTGTTTTTCTGTTTTTTTTATTTTGCATTTTTCAATAGAGCGATAGACGGGGGATCGGCGGGGTCTTTGTTTGCATGCATAAAATTCGTCTCCTCCTTGCTCTGCTTTTTATCTATTTGAAAAAACAATTTCGCTTGCATCATCAACTTTCTTCTTCACCTGACTACATTACCATCTGCCTCCACCCACCTGCCTGGCAACTGGCCTTCGATATCTGCCTGCTTGCGCGTCAGTCTGATGGTTTTTTTTTTTTTTTTTTTTTCCTTGTTTGAATATACATTTTTTTCTATATATATATAAACAATTTATGCTTTCATTGGTATAATTGTTTATTCCTTTATATCCTTTTAGAGGGTATTAACACTGTCCATCCCGTCTACGTGTATTGTGAAATTTTCGTTGATACGTTATTTATATGATTGGTTACGAAAAAGTAAAACTAAAAGTCAATGCATATATGATTGTATGGGTGGGTGCATGTGCTTGCGAGTTAAAGTCGTTTTCATAAAAATTAATAGAAAATTTAATGAAATTTAAATAAAAAACCTCTTCAGGATGAATTAATGTGATCAAGAACATTTCAACCATCGATTAAAGAAATATTTACAAGAATTGCCTCGTAATGGCTTATTGTCCATCTTAACTGTCCATCTTAGGATATTTAGCATAACATATTAAGAATCAGCAAAAAAATTCAATTTACAGTCCATTATGTATGTAAATCTGTTCATTGGTCATCGCATTTGGACAACGTCTACGTTAGGTGAAGTTTCTGATGGCCAAAGGATACGAGAAACGTGACTTCTAATAGACAATATCTACAATAGAGGATGTCTACGATAAGCGATGTAGACGATGTTTACGGTAGACGACGTCCTCGATTAACGATGGCTACGTTAGTCGATGTCTACAAGAGACGTGGTACTCGAAAGACGGGATCCCTGATAGACGATGGCTACGATGGACGTATACAATGTCCCCGATCGACAACATCATCCGCAAACGGAGTCTGCAATACGTCCATCATAACAGAATTCAATAATAATAAAAGCGACCAATCGGTGGACAATTACCATAATAAACGAGTTCGCTGATGATAGATGAGTTCAAGGGCAATCTAACGTAATATCGGAAAAATAAATGATATTAAAGTCAATATAGGTAAAGATAAACCAGCTCAATGGTCCATAATAGGTGACGAAACGTCACCGACAATAAATGATTATCCGCAACAAAAATATATTTAATATTGCATAAGATCAACAATAAACGGCATACATCAAATATGAACTCATTGATAAGTCAGATATGTGCTATATATGAACTTAACTATCGATAGATAGATGGATAGATTAAGTATAGATAAATAGATGAGGACGAGATATGAGATCAATTTTAGGGTTGCATTAAAAAAATGAAAAAAATTTGTATGGATGATAAGTTTTGGTGTTTGAATGATGATTTTTCAAAAGCTTACCTGATCCTTAGCCAGTTGAAACCAGGTTTTCACAATTAAAGCTAAACGACTATCATGATAACTTTTCGTAGTTTTTACACTTATGAATATATCGTCCAATTCGGTTGTGGGCGGTTTCGGAGTCCCAGTTACCGAACGTTGATATAAATCATGTAACAGTTGGCCATTGCGTATAAAGTGTGCCGAAGCGGTCGGCCGTTCGACGGGCAATTCCAAATCAGAAAAATTAAAACTGTGAATATCTTTACGTATGATCACGGTGGTGGGTTGATGAAAGGACGCAGGCAAATTTGGATGATGTAACTGTTGAGCCGATACGGTTAAATCATGTTTTGTTTGAGACGCTGACGAAAACGTCGATACGGATGATGATGAAACGGGCGATGAAGCTGCTGCAGATGGCGACGGAGAAGTGATGGCCGTCGATTGTTCATATTGCAATAATTTCAAATGATGCGTTTGCACTTCGCCAGCTTTGTTTTGAAATTTTTGTGGCAGATTCTGTGAAAGCTGCAAAAGAAGACAAATATATTAAGTTAAAAATTTCGTATATAATAAGAAGGATTAAGCGAAAGTGTGCGTTTATTGTTTACTCTTCTTTTAACCGAAATGCATTAAATATTGTGATATCAATACAAAAGTAGATTTCTGCGTTTATTATTCATAACAAACACGTTGAATGTGCGCTTGTCTGCTGCAAGATTTCTGATCAACAAACACACACACAACCAAACTGAAAACAGTGCAAAACAATAGGGGGTCTCTGTTGACACAGACATAAACGTATATATATATATATATATATATATATATATGTACAAACACACACACACACACACACACACACATACCCATACATAAACCAAACTTCTCTTTTATATCAATTTCATGTGCTATGAAGCACATGCAGGCTGCCTGGCTAAATAACTGCTAGCTAGCTAGCTAGCTGGTTAGTAGGCAGCCCATCATCCAAATCACCACCATTGTCAACTTATTATATGGCTATTGCCGTTGCTGTTTGTTGCTTATAAACCTTAAACAATTTAAACAAGTTGTTACATTGCCTGCGAAAACTCGTACACGCGTGTGTGTGTGCCTGTGTGTCATGTAAAGAAAAAGCAAAAAAAAAAAAAAAAAATAATAATAATAATAATAAAAAAGAAAAAGAAGAAGAAGAAGAAAACAACGATAACAACAAATTCACTATATATATATAAACTTTTATGTATATTTAGTTGCTGTAATGTTGTTATTGTTGTTGTGATATGTCTTGAAAAGTAAAAAACAAAAACTGTCGTCACTGTTTGGATACGCTGTTGTCGTTTTGTTTTCCTTTTCTTTTACTTTTAATATGTTATTACCGAGGTTTAAAGTTGTTCCATTCTTGTGTTTCCTTTTTTAAATTCTATGGAAATTCTGTAACACTCTTAACAGCCGAGTACCCGTATTAAATGAAATAACAAGAGCACAGGTCACGCGTGTGATTACCATTCATTTTCCTTTATCTTGCGTTTCTCTTCCTCTTTTTAGTTTTTTTTTTACTCTTTTCAATAGTTTTACTCACGTAAATAAAATATGAACACATATAACATTATGGACTCATGTATAATATAACCAGTTGTGCGGACACCAAAGGAAATTATTTTAAATCTACGCTACTGTAATGATACTTGATAAGCCATTAATGTCGCTTTCGCAAAATTCAGAGGAAGTAAATATTCTACAAAAAAAAAAAAAAAAAAATTTCACAAACTTTTCATCTCATTGATAGCAGCAAAAAATAAATTTAATATAAATTTTTAAATCGTCTACATGCCTCAGATATAATATATCGTAACACTCGTCACTAGTGACTTTTCCAATATGTATTCTGACTTTCATTACAAGATCGCTTGTTGTGCATTTGCTTAAACAATGAGAAAATTCCCTTTTAATTTCAAATCTGAAAGTTCAGACACCATGGCTGCTACTATTTGAAAACGTGCGATGCTAGAAAGGTATAAAAATTACTCATCTAAAAATTACTCAACTATTCTGTAAATAAAAAGGGATCGCTTTACATCTTCTAACCTAAGCACGATTTGTGTTTGATCATAACTGTTGGTAAAAGCTAGCAGGACTTACTTGGCTTGCAAAAATCTTCTTTCTCAACACTAGAATTATCACGTTCATCATATTGATACTCATAAAAATCTTGACAGGATATGTGGATGCCGATGACAGATACATATTACATTGATCACCACATAAACATAAAAATCAAGATAAAGTGCTGCAAATATATCTCGATCGGCTAAGGAGTTAAGGTGAAGAATTAGTTATGATCCGTCTATACGCATACTCACAATGCGGAGGAATGTGTAACGACCTTGGAAAAACAAGGTCATTTTTTTTTCATATTTTCTCCAAGCCTGCAAAACCCGAATTTTCGTTAAGATCACCGTTACGCGCAATCTAAAAACAGTTTCGATCAATTTACTAACACGCCCACAATTATCGCTAATATTTGAGTTGCAATTGATGTTCGAATTATTCCGAAATTATTTTGACGCACTTTAATACTTTCTCCACTCATACCCACCCACCCACTTGCATATAAATTGAAGTTAAAATTTTATCTTTTATTGCGAATGTATTAATAAATCTCGACCATTTTTGAACCGAACATGCAAACGGTTTCGACGATTACGTGGCTAGCAAGTTTTTCGAAATATTTTCGCGGTATCGAAAGTTACAAAAAATACAAAATATCAAACAGTCGTCGGATGCTTCATTTTCTAGTCTGGTATTGTGGGCGCGTGTGCGGTCGAAATTCAATTACTTTATATCAATTTTCAGCTTTCTCTCTTCATTTTCGCGACAGGATAGGAATAGTGCTTGCAAAACGTTTGCAGTTCTTGTGTTAAGACACGATTTTTATATAAATTATTTGCGCACATTTTACTAATCATTAATGAAATTTATCTTAAAATGAGACTTCTTTGCAATGTTATTCTTGTAAGTTGGTTACGATTCCAATCTTCCAATATTATATTTCTATATCTATTTACATGTGAATATTTTTATACCCACCACTGTAAGATGGAGGTATACTCATTTTGTTTTTTTTTCCACAATATATGTAACATTCAAAAACTCCATAGACTCTATAAAGTATTCTTGATCAGCGTAAAATTCTAAATTGATTAACCCATGTCTGTCCGTCTATGTGTGTTGTTGGCTCCTCGTCTCCTGGTCGCAAAAATTAAAATATCGACTTCAAATATGCCGTTAAGTGTAAGCTTAATATATTCGGATACGATGGTAAAAAGTATGGAGAAAACTTAATATAGCGAAAATTGGCAATCGAAAATTTATTATGAATTGTAAAGTAACGCGCATGGGCTGTCATGGTTTGGATATCCTAGTCTACGCGTGGAGTAGAAAATCTGGCCTATATTGACATTACAATGGATCGTCACGTTTATCTCAAACTTTTCAAAGCCAATTTGAAAAGTTCCGTTAACTAAATTGACTCCTTTCAAGCAAATGAATCTTCCAACAGAATATCGATCCGAAATACACACACAAACCCATCTCATTGTAAAGGAATGGCTATTTAACAATGTGTCCCCAAACAAATTTCGCACTCCTCCACAACCACCGAATTGAGTGCAATGGAAAACATGTACCACGAATTAGATAGAGGGGTTCAAAAAAAATGACATTTCTAACATGAAAGATCATAAGAAAGCTTTACTTTGGGTATTGGAATAAAATTAGTCCAGATGCCACAGAAATTTAAGTTTCCTCAATGCCAAGACGCATGCTAAAGGCCATCCAGCAGTAGTGGTTTTTTCATTTTATCCACAAATAATGTATTAAACTACCTGCGAAATACACTGTATGGACACTTTTTTTTTTGCGATATTCTTTGAGATTAAAGTACATTTTATTTTTTGCTTATGACTTTATTTGAAGTCAAAAAAAAAAATCGTGAGTCTATTCATTTATTTGCTTACACATGAACATGAAACTCAACTAAAATAAATTAACTATGGAATTCAATTGACTCTTAAAAGTAAATCTTAAACGAATTAATATTAAAAACTGGTATAAATGTATGTAAGGAGAAGTAAAGAAAAAAAAAACTAAATAAAATAATAAAATAATTATTGTGTAGATAAATAAGAAAGAAAAAAAAATCATGTATACAACTAGCATAGAGGCAAACCCAACCCACCCAACAACAAATGGCGACAAAGTGAAGCCCTAAGCCATTGCAAACATGCAAAAGCTGCTCTTGTTTAATATAAGTTTTTCTTTTTTAACAAATATATTTTTTCACTCTCAGCTCATAAGTGCAATTTTTGATAAGAGAAAGCTTCATTTTTCACACTGTATGTCGACTTTATTGCGCTACTGTTCCCTCACAATTATCAAAAGCTCTAAGAAGGTGGGATATGTAAATTGTTGCTCTTTTATTGAAAACGCGAATACCGTAGCTTATGAATGCTTAAATATCGTATCTTCGCATATCGGGTAGTGTGTATGTAATCTTTATGCTCTATATTGCAATGACGCGTTGCATAGATAAGCAAATAATTATTTACTTAAGCGTGTACGTATTATATGTGCACACACATCTCTGGCCATAACAAACACAGATAATTAATTACATATAAAATCGATTAAAGACTTTTTACTTGGAAAAAAAAAATAAAAAAAATATATATATATATATATATATATACAAACTTCTCGTTCTAAACTTAAGCTTTCCTTAGTCATCGTCTCAATAATAATCGTATCCTTTTAATGTCTGTATTACGCTTGCAACCGAGTTAAGTGAAATTTATTAATCCATTAAAAGCGCTGCTTTTCATTCATTTTGTAACTGATTTAGTTAATTAGGGCCGCTGTTATATAAAATAATCCTTCAATTCGTAAGCAATTTACGTCATCACTTTCATATCTGACCTGTGATACGAAATCTGTATAAATATATGTATCGCGAGCTTTAGCATTTTACTTCAATTATTCGAATTTTGAATATATGTATACATGAATATATACGAATGAATAGATAGATATTCTTGTTGTAATCTTTTGAAGCAAGCAGTTACAAGCCATATGATAAAATAGGTATCCTATACAGATCCGTTTGCGGTGAGTATAAGAATTAATTAATTTAACATTTGCCATTTAACATAGCCATCTACAAATTAGATCTATAAAGTAAAATCCCTTTTTCACACCAATTCATTTAATAGAGTTACATAATAAATCCCTAGCTAGATGTACAATAAATTCAAGATGTAAAAGGAAAACAAAAACAAAAACCAAAAACGCCAAAAATTCAATATATACTGCAGGTGCAAAATAAAACAACAACAACAACAACAACAAATAAAAAAAGATAATATATAAATGTATGTGTGTGTGTGGATGTGTATGCGTGTATTGTTTGCATGTATGTGTTTAAGATCCCCTTATGTATATAAATGAGATACGTGCATGTACCAAGTACA